CGATCAGAAGGTCAGCGGTTCGAATCCCCGCGACGGGGTGAGCTCCCGTTGCTCGGTCCTTGCTCCTGCCAACCTAGCAGTTTGAAAGCACGTCAAAGTGCAAGTAGATAAATAGGTACCGCTCCAGCGGGAAGGTAAACGGCGTTTCTGTGCGCTGCTCTGGTTCGCCAGAAGCGGCTTAGTCATGCTGGCCACAAGACCTGGAAGCTGTACGCCGGCTCCCTTGGCCAATAAAGCGAGATGAGCATCGCAACCCCAGAGTCGATCACAAGTGGACCTAATGGTCAGGGCTCCCTTTACCTTTATAATAATAATAAAATTTATTATTTATACCCTGCCCATCTGGCTGGGTTTCCTCAGCCACTCTGGGCGGCTCCCAACAGACTATTAAAAACACGATAAAACTTCAAACATTAAAAACTTCTCTAAACAGGGCTGCTTTCAGATGTCTTCTAAAAGTCAGGTAGTTGTTTATTTCTTTGACATCTGGTGGGAGGGCATTTCACAGGGCGGGCACCACAACCAAGAAGGCCCTCTACTGGATCCCTGCAACCTCACTTCTTACAGTGAGGGAACCCCCAGAAGGCCCTTGGAGCTGGACCTCAGTGTCCGGGCTGAACGGTGGAGATGCTCCTTCAGGTCCAAACGCAAAACATTTGGCAGTGAGGGGAGCAGGGGGAAGTCACAGGCATGGCCAATGTTCATATGACAAAGGCTCCTGCTTGAGAAAGAATCCAGTCCTTGACCCTCCACAGAATGAGAGGAACCCTTTTCTCCCTTCAGTCCCCATTCCCCAATTTCCTCAAGCTCAACTCGGATTGCTAACATCCTCTCTCACCTTTCCCTTAGTCCGGGTTCAGCCTCGTGATGAACCACCCAGCCTGTGTCAATGAGATTACACTGAGCCTCAACAACAAGAACCCCAGGTAAGGAATTGGAACTCCTTTTCCGGACATGTGTTTCTTCATTTCTGAAAAGAGAGATGCATAGCACTCAGGCCTGTCTAGGGGTCGGAGCCTTCCAAACTGGGATGCCCTGTTCTCTAAATCCTAGGTAGGAGGTAGGAGGTTTCATAGTAAGGGAACTGGACTCTCTTTACAATTGCTTCCCTTGTTACAGTGCACTGAGTCCCACTGTTTCCTTTATGTTTGGATGCATTTAAAAGGACCCACACACAAAAAGATGGAAGGTATGCTATGGGGAGTTGAGAAAGGGTGTGGACAGCATAGTTTTCCCAATCAAGAAGAGGATTTTTAAAAAATTGTGAATACCCTAGTACAGGGGTCAGCAAACTTTTTCAGCAGGGGGCCGGTCCACTGTCCCTCAGACCTTGTGGGAGGCCGGACTGTATTTTGAAAAATAATAATGAACGAATTCCTATGCCCCACAAATAACCCAGAGATGCATTTAAAATAAAAGCACACATTCTACACATGTAAAAACACCAGGCAGGCCCCACAAATAACCCAGAGATGCATTTTAAATAAAAGGACACATTCTACTCATGTAAAAACATGCTGATTCCCGGACCGTCTGTGGGCTGGATTTAGAAGGTGATTGGGCCAGATCCGGCCCCCTGGGCCTTAGTTTGCCTACCCATGCCTTAGTATATGGCACTTGACAGTATATGCCTGGCCTCAGAAAGTGTGGCCAAATACTCCTCGTTTTTATTAGCACTTATTAATGCCCAAGGGACGCGGGTGGCGCAGTGGGTAAAACCTCAGTGCCTAGGACTTGCCGATTGTATGGTCGGCGGTTCGAATCCCCGCGGCAGGGTGAGCTCCCGTCTTTCGGTCCCAGCTCCTGCCCACCTAGCAGTTCGAAAGCACCCCTAAGTGCAAGTAGATAAATAGGTACCGCTTTATAGCGGGAAGGTAAATGGCGTTTCCGTGTGCTGCTCTGGCTCGCCAGAGCAGCTTCGTCACGCTGGCCACGTGACCCGGAAGTGTCTGCGGACAGCGCTGGCTCCCGGCCTCTAGAGTGAGATGAGCGCACAACCCTAGAGTCTGTCAAGACTGGCCCGTACGGGCAGGGGTACCTTTACCTCTTTCTTAATGCCCAGGCTTTGCTTAATGGAGGAGATGCAGTTTGCCGTGTCTGGCTTGTCCCTTATCCCTGCTTTTCCCACCAAAGGAACCCTGAAAGGCTCAAGAAATGCCCACAAAAAGTAGCATGAGTTCTATTCTCCTACTGTCCGTCCCGCACACTCCCAGTTGTGGTTGCGGCCTGCGGCCTTCCTTGTTCCTTTTTCTATTAACTCTCCTCCCTAGTCAGCTGTTTCTCCTAACCCCCTTGCCATTCACCACCTGCTTTTCTTTATATAGCCCAAAAACATGCCCCCAAACCCATCACTTCCCTCATGTGGATGACAGAGGGAGTGAAAGGTAGCATAGTCCGAACCCTTGTGTAGCAGGCTGGACCCACCCACCAATTTGCCGCAGAAGATGTCCCCACCAAGCAAGTGAATCCAGGAGGCTCAAGCTAGTCAGCCATGCTTCATGTTTCTGGAAATGGCAACCCTTGAACCCATCACCATCCCCACAAGCTGTCTGCCCCCACTTGGGAGTTTCTCTTGAGCCATTTGCATCCATCACTTGAGCCATTTGCATCCACCCTTCGGCCCCTTTTCAGGAACGATGACCCACTTGGGAGTCCTTCATCTCACTGCTTTCCTCCTCGCAGGACTAAAGCTCTCGTCCTGGAGCTGTTGGCTGCTGTCTGCTTGGTCCGAGGGGGACACGACATCATCCTGGCTGCGTTTGACAATTTCAAAGAGGTTTGTAAGCTCCGTAACCCTTTCGACGGTGCTGGTTTCTGGCGTGCAACAAGATTGCAAGTCAATCAAATACAGTGGTACCTTGGTTCTCAAACACCTTGGTACTCAAACAACTTGGAACCCAAACACTGCAAACCCAGAAGTACGTAAGTGTTCTGGTTTGCGAACTTTTTTTGGAAGCCAAACATGCTCCATTTTGAGTGTTATGTTTCTGATTCGAGTGCCACACTTCTATTTTGAGTGTTATGCTGCTAGGTCTGTCTGTTTTTGCTATTTACTTTGTGTTTTTGTTTTTGCAGCTCTTTTTTGTTTTGTTTTTGTGAGGAACCCAGTTCAGCTGCTGATTGATTGATTGATTGATTGTGTGACGGCAGTACATTGTTTATTGCTTTCATTTTATGGATCAACGGTCTTGTTAGATAGTAAAATTCATGTGAAATTTCTGTTTTAGGGGTTGTTTTTAAAAGTCTGGAACGGATTGATCCGTTTTGCATAACTTTCTGTGGGAAAGCGCACCTTGGTTTTGGATTGCTTCGGTTTTGGAACTGACTTCTGGAGCGAATTAAGTTTGAGAACCAAGGTACCACTGTAGTGAAAGTGTCCTATGAGCGCAGCCCAAAGTACAGCCATCCACTGCACGATTCACTGCTCAGGCTTTTGCCTCGTTCCAGTCGGCCTTTCCCACGGGGTAGAAATTCCTGCATTGAGTTTTCATTCTGTGTGATTTGATCATTCAGCCATTCCCAATGCATAGAGGCAGCCTGCCCTCAGAAGAAGTAGGCCCAGAACAGTGACTCGTGCATGAACAGTGGCGCTTGAGCTCCTCTAAAGGTTGTGGGCAGTTCTTGCTTTTGTTTCTGTAAAGGAAGACCCTTTCAGGAGGAAGTGTGAGTTGTGTTTTCATATTTTGCTCAGGAATAAAGCGTGACTCACTCAGCAGTCAGAAGCTTAGGGAACATGTACGGAAAGATGAGGGGCAAACACTGTGTTGAGGGGGGCCTTATAACAGATGGAAACTGGTGTGCCCTGCCCCACTTTATTCTAGATCCCTTTGCTGCTACTGCCTGCAATTTGTACCCCAGCCTTCTTCTTCTTCTTCTTTGGCGATCACTCGTAGCCGAGTAAGATTGTCTTCCATGAACACGGTCTTAACAGTGAGTCCGTAAGTGACTGTGGAGGCCAGTTCTGCATCCACACATCCTTCCACGGTGGGGACATAGGTTTCCAGGCAGGAGTTGATCACTGTGAGGGTTTGCAAAGCATGCCTTCCTCTTAGCACGTTTCTCCCTTTCGTCCTGAGTTCGAGCATCTTCAAAGCCCATGACAGCTTTGGTGAAGGCTGATCTCCTTTACCAAAGTGCTTGCAGGCCAGTGTTTCCCAGTTGTCGGTGTCTATACTACATTTTTTTAGATTGAGAGAGTCGTTGAACCTCTTTTGTTGACCACCCGCATTATGCTTTCCATTTTTAAGTTCAGAATAGAGTACAGTGGTACCTCTGGTTACGTACTTAATTTGTTCCAGAGGTCCATTCTTAACCTGAAACTGTTCTTAACCTGAAGCACCACTTTAGCTAATGGGGCCTCCCGCTGCTGCCGCGTCGCCGGAGCACGATTTCTGTTCTCACCCTGAAGCAAAGTTCTTAACCCGAGGGATTATTTCTGGGTTAGCGGAGTCTGTAACCTGAAGCGTATGTAACCTGAAGTGTATGTAACCCGAGGTACCACTGTAGTTGCTTTGGAAGACGATAATCAGGCATCCGCACAACATTTAATGACCAGCCTTACATGCCCTTGAATGTTAAGCACTTGATTTGTTATAAAGCTGAAATGGTCACATTTTCCATATTTTTCCATAAGTAAGGCGTGTGGCTTTGAAGAGAGAGAGTGTGTTTTCAATTGCTCAAACTTCGATGGGTGAATTCTCTCACAGTGCTGTAGTCTGTTCTCTATATGCACAGTAAGAACAAAAGCGCCTACTCCTTAGGGTCAAGCTAAATGTGATGTTAAATGTGTGCTGTTTTTAAAAATGCCAACTGCATCAGCTGGGGAGGAGTGATTAATGGCAGCAGAGGAGGTATGGAGAGGGTTTTAACCCGTTCTTCTTGCTGTGCCAAAGCTTTTTGAAGTTGGTATTTACTTTGAGAGGAAATCCCTTCTTGGTGCCATTGGAGTAATCATAGAATTACAGTTGGAAGGGACCACGAGGGTCATCTAGTCCAGCCCCTGCAGCACAGGAATGTGGGCCTCGAACCCACAACCCAGAGACTTGAGAGTCTTATGCTCTACCAACTGAACTAATGCAAATTCCACCTTAAGAAAAGGGATTTTCTTCCTCAGGGATAGGGTTAGATCCCCTCTCCTCCATATTTGCTTTGATCCCACTAATAATCAGCAAAAACGCCCCTGCCCCGCCCCCCGCTGATGCAATTTCCATTAAAAACAGCAAAATCCTGCACTTTAAATGCAAATACGGCGTTTCCTGTAGTTTGGCTCTTAGTGAAGTTTAGTAAAGCCTCTGTAAGTATATTTTTTATTATTACAGTTTTTATTAAATTTCTGTTTTACATTTTAGAATATTCACTTAAATAGCCTTAACATATCAATGACTTCCCATCCTCTCTTTCCATGATTCATTTTGCACAGCATAAACCCCTGCATATTTTATATAAACTAAGCCTTTCAGTATTCCATTATAACATCCATCAAAACTTATTTACACCGTTGAATTTATCTTAACGCTGCCCATTAAGCCTTTTGTAAGTTTAGATAAGCTAAGTTAATAAATAGGGAATAGAAGGGAAACTTGCCTCTTTGGCACTCATGCTGTTGCTGTAAACTGACACAGGGAGAGCTGACAAAGAGTCTGCTTAGGTTACATGGGATAAAATTTGCCCATGGAGCAGATTGGCTTGTGCCAAAGCTTTTGGACGGGAGGACATGGAATCCTAGGTGCCAAACAGACAGGTGCAAGCCTGATCTGTCACTCAGGCACGGTTGGACAAATTGGACCTGTATTGGTGGTGGAAACCTGGGCACAGATTCTCTTTCTGCTTAATATGTGGGATTATCCTCCATCTCCTCTCTCCTCCTTTCCTCTCCTCTCCTGCATGGCTTAATTGTCTGTAGTTTTTCAGAAATGACTTGTGCATCATTACTTCTGCAGTTTTAAGGCCACTAACTCTGATCATTTAGCATTTGGCAAGTCAATTCTGCCACTAAGTTTTCTCTCCTGTGAGATAGTGATTCCTGGGGGGTGGGGAGGCGTAGATGTGTTAAGTTTGCCTGGCGGCAAAAACCTGAACGATGGCTACCAAAAATTATTATTGTGGGATAGGCCTTTGTGAGGTAGGTGGGTGGTTCTTCCCCCCGTTTTACAGACTGGAAACGGAGGCTTCGCAATAGCAGGGTAGCCAGGGTTGCGTGCATCATCTGTGGCAGAAAATACAAAATTAAATTAGTCGTAAATTAAAGACCAGCTGTTTACCCACTGGATAGCGCTCTTTATGGTGTGCCTGCCCCATATCAAATAGCTCAGAAAAAAGGAGGGACACTTTTGCTTGTACAGTGGTACCTTGGGTTAAGAACTTAATTCGTTCTGGAGGTCCGTTCTTAACCTGAAACTGTTCTTAACCTGAAGCACCACTTTAGCTAATGGGGCCTCCCGCTGCTGCTGTGCGATTTATGTTCTCATCCTGAAGCAAAGTTCTTAACCTGAGGTACTATTTCTGGGTTAGCGGAGTCTGTAACCTGAAGCGTCTGTAACCCGAGGTACCACTGTATATGCAATTCTTTCTCCTTTGTTGATCACTCATAGCCGAGTAAGATTGTCTTCCATGAACACGGTTTTAAAAGTGAGTCCGTAAGTGACAGTGGAAGCCAGTTCTGGATCCATACCTCCTTCCACAGTGGGGACATAGGTTTCCAGGTGGGAGTTGATCATGGTGAGGGTTTGCCAAGTGTGCCTTCCTCTTAGCACATTTCTCCCTTTCGTCCTGCGTTTGAGCATCTTCAAAGCCCATGAAACCTTTGGGAAAGGCTGATCTCCAATTGGAGCTCTCGCAGGCCAGTGTTTCCCAATTGTCAATGTTTGTACTACATTTTTTAAGATTTGCCTTGAGAGAGTCTTTAAACCTCTTTTGTTGACCACTGGCATTACGCTTTCCATTTTTAAGTTCAGAATAGAGTACTTGCTTTGGAAGACGATCATCAGGCATCCGCACAACATGACCAGTCCAACGAAGTTGATGTTGAAGAATCATTGCTTCGACACTGGCGATCTTTGCTTCTTCCAGTACACTGGCATTAGTTTTCCTGTCTTCCCAAGTGATGTGTAATTCTTTTCAGAGATGCAGATGTCTCTGAAATATGCAATTATGCCTGCCCTAACTTAGTGTACTCCTAAAAGGGAAATTACCCCAGCCTTTCATTGTCCTGCAGCTGCCCATTATTGGAGGGTGTATGAGTGAAATCTTAGCTACAGCTGAAGACGACATCCCCAATATTGCATAGCCAGAAATTGGAGATTGTTTACTCTGGGCTTTTATATCCCAGCACTGATTATACCGGAGTAGAGAAACTCTGGCTGTGATGAAGTGATTAGGTCCCAACTTCCATATTAAAGACCAACATTGGCCATGCTAGATGGGTGCTGATGGGAGTTCAACCAGGTCTGGAGGGCTACAGTCTGCCACCCCACACCCTGCCCTGCCCTGATCTACAGACAGACAAATTTTGATGCCCCCCTCTCTCGCCCACACACCTTGCCCTGGCTGCCTAGAGTCCTTCACAGGTCATTGTGTGTCTCTGTTCCTCCAGGGCAGAAGGCCCAGAACTCCTTTAATCTCTTTTTTAACAACCTCTGAGCTGCTTGAGCATGTAAATATAAGTAAGTGCAGGGTTGCTCTTGCAGAAGGACAGTTCGTTCAAACGTGAAAGAATAGCCTGGCACAAGCTCAGAGAAAATGTGATTGCCTCCACCGCCATCGCGCCAACTTGGTACTTGCTCTCAAGGCATAACTGTGCAGTGTACTGACAATGGATGTTTTGTAAATGCGTGTCTGTCAATTTATGTGAATGCAGAGGACTCTTGAGTCTGCGTGTGTCATTTGCAAGGAAGTATCAACATGTTAAACCCCTCTCTGCTCCATTTTTCTCTGCAGATAGGCTTCGTGTATTATTATTACTATTTATTGAATTTATATACCGCCCTATACCCAGGGATCTCAGGGCGGTTCACAGAATAAAATCAAGATATAAAACCACAAAATACATAATAAAAAGAAAAACAGCAACCCAATAGCCCCCCCCCCAAAAAAAAACACATTTTAAAAGGGCATAGGATGTAAATCAGATCAGCCAAAGGCCTGGTTAAAAAGGAACATTTTTACCTGGTGCCTAAAGGTGTATAATGAAGGTACCAGGCAAACTTCCCTGGGGAGAGCATTCCACAGATGGGGAGCCACTGCAGAGAAGGCCCCGTTTTTATGTTGCCACCCTCCGGACCTCTCGAAGAAGAGGCACACGAAGGAGGGCCTCAGAAGATGATCTCAGGGTCTGGGTAGGTTCATATGGAAAGATTCAGTCCTTGAGCTCTTGTGGTCCTGAGCAGTTTAAGGCTTTATAGGTCAAAACCAGCACTTTGAATTGGGCCCGGAATTCATGTAGTCTCCGAGACCAACTACAGGGGGAAACACTGTTAAAATCTGCTGTAGGAGAATCAGTGGCAGGTGGGGAAAGAATAAGGCACTTTTCCTGCGCAGTGATACCTACACACACACACCCTGAAAATGCTCCCCCACTTCCATATTACAGTTATGCAGTAAACCCAGTCCGGCAACCCGACGTTTTCATTGTAAGTTGTAGTTCTGCCCGCAGGAATCCATGCCGGAATATCAAATACCTTCTCTGCTGATCCCTCACATTTGCTTCCCCCTAGAATAGCCTCCCCCAACCTTGGGTTTTCAGATGCTGGATGCTAGACTAAAACCCACACCATCTCTAGTCCGCATGGCCAATGGTCAGAGATAACGGGAGTTCTAGTCCCACAGTATCTGGGGACTCGAGGCCGGGAAAGGCGGCCCTAGAGATGTGCAAATCTCTGAAATGGTGACCCAAGACAAATAATGCATGTTCAGGATTCTCCCGTTGTTCAGCCAGCAAGTGCCAGACTTTAAGGCTGGGCAACCCATTGCAGGAAAACCTTTGCTCAGGGCAATTGGCCTCCAAAGATGTCTTGGTACAACATGAAACCTCCTGGAATTCTGGGCAATCTGCCTGGCCCTAAAAGCCTTTGTCCCAGTTCTTCAGAGAAAAGACGTATTAGCAGAGAGAATATCAGTGCCAAGACCTACATAAACAGGCAAGGGGAACTTAAATCCTATCAGTTTTTCAAGGAAAAAACCTTGTGTGTTCTAATGGGCAGTGTACCAACTCACTTTTCCGGCAGCCTAGCGTTTGAGAGGAAATCTCAGAATTCAGGTGGGTTGTCTTGGCCATCCACCAGTGGACCAGCAAAACATCTGAAGGTTTTTTATTGATTTTTATCTTACCAGATGACATCAGGGTTTTTGCCACTGGCACAGTGAGATGTCTCTTTGTGCAAGCAACCTATCAGACAAGGTTGCAGCCTTGCTGAGTACCCTAAAAGCATATCAAATGGCCTCTTTTATCTTCCTCTTATCTCCAGATCAGTTAGGAAAATCAGGGAAGAGGACCATAATTTCCATCACTCCCAGATAGCCAACTTCATACTTTTAAGGCTTCCGGCAATTTCAGACTTGCTCCTTGGGTCTTCTTCTACATACCTGAGGCTCCTAATGTGCCATCTGATTTCTTGATGCTCTGAAGTCAAAACCCTTCTAGACTTTGGTTGCCAAAGTTTGGTTGTCAAAGTTTGACTTAGCTGGAATATCTTGATAAGCTATCTGAAATTAATCTATTGGTCTAATTAAATTCTGATTAATAATAATAATAATAATAATAATAATAATAATTTATTTATACCCCGCCCATCTGGTAGGATTTCCCCAGCCACTCTGGGCAGCTTCCAAAAGAAGAAGAAGAAGAAGAAGAAGAAGAAGAAGAATAAAGTGATAAAACATCAAACATTAAAAACTTTCCTAAAAAGGACTGCCTTCAGATGTCTTCTAAAAGTCAGATAGTTGTTTATTTCCTTGACATCTGATGGGAGGGCGTTCCACAGAGCAGGTGCCACTACCGAGAAGGCCCTCTGCCTGGTTCCCTGCAACCTCACTTCTTGCAGGGAGGGAACTGACAGAAGGCCCTCGGAGCTCGACCTCAGT